TAAAAAAAAAAAAAAGGCTGAATTTCCCCAGTAATCTCCCGCCCTGGGGCCAGTGGTTAAAACAAAACTCTGTGAAGTTGACAAATTTAGTTAATCTCTCTCACACAGCTCCAGGGGATCACAGAGGCTCAGGGACAGAAAATGATTCTCACTAGCTTGACGATGAAGTTGTATGAAACAGAAACGTCTCCTGCCCTTGACAGAGGCATAAGACTATGAAATTACAATAAATGAGCAGGCAACAAAGCTAACTGATCAAGCAGAACTAACTGAAGATCTCTGGTTGGTTAGAGAGGTCAGTCCTGCTCAAAACCTTTTAGAAGCTAATAGCTCTGCACTGCTGCCAGGGCTGTTCAGTGAGTCTGGGTCACAGGAGCCTTCACCAGCACCTTAAATTTTGGAGCTTATTTAACAAACAAATATATTAGCAAAAAAAATATACTGTAGCTTTAAACAGCACCTGGTAAATGGCATGTTAGCATCGTTACTGTGAAGGTGTTTGCATGTTGATCTTAGCATTTACCTCAAAGCACCACTTGCTTAAAGACCCAATGAGGAGAGTAATCAGTATGTGAAGGAGTCAGCGTAGGGTACTGTAGCTCTATTTCAGTTAATTTTGTGTTTTCCAGAATGATTTTACTCTACACACCCACACAGCACATTGGTGTGATCGCATTTCTGGGACCTGATAAGTTTCTGAACACAAACACACGCAGGAAAAAGCTGAGCTGACCACTTCTCTCCAGCAGCACAGTCCAACTGCTGAGTGAAGACAAAACGTCCTGGCAGCTGGCTCTGTTTGTAGCAGCGCTGATCTGCAGCGCATCTTTGTGGATCATCCTCAAGCACAACATTAAGAAGCAAAGCGTTCAGACAATTTTGTCAGCATCTAATATCAAAAAGTTTTTTTTTTGGAAGCATTTTTGTCCCCGTCAGCCAATATCTTTGTCTCACAGCCAGTCTCTGATGTTTCTTCACAAAGCTGATTGTTTTATCAGATTTACAAACAAGACAAATAGAGAACATTTGTGGTGTTTTTTCACTGTCATTTCTTGGACACATGGTATGCAACAGTTTGGCCTCTTGCAGCTCACTTTACTGTAACATATTTACAAATGAAAAAGAAAAACCACATCAGTCACTGCCGGTCTGTTACTTTTTCCCTTCTGTGCACATGCACCCCCTGTTTGCTGTGTGGTGCATGGTCTTTTTCCACCTCTGTGTGTGTGGTCTGTGTTTCTGTGACATGCAGCTGCTAGTTGAAGAGTTAATAATGAAATACTTAGGCTTGTCCCTCCAGTGTTTGACTGACGATTGATGCAGTCTACTGATTCTAATTTAGGTCTGTCTGGAAAGGTTCTATAATATTTTTAAGCTTTCTGATTAAAAGCAGGCTGTTAAGTCAAATTACAATAGTCATTACATTAATTACATTTTAACTTTTTGTAAGCACAAACAAATGGAGGAAACCTTGGAAAAAGAGATCAATCATTTTACATTTTAGCCTAATAAAAGGAGGTGAAACATTAAGAAACGGTACTTCTTCCATATTCTGTATTTATTGTGTGCAGGTTTTGTGTAGAAGATGCCACACACCCACCCCCCTTACAGCAAGCCTCCGAGTGTGAACCGTGTCAAATGCTCATTGTTGCTGGGAAATGGATTATGGGAGCAGGGAGACTGAGCGTTCCCATGGCGATGGGCAGAGTGCCGTTGTCGTGGCGATGAGGAGGGTGTTGGCAGCGACAAGTGTTGTGTGTGTGTGCGCGCGCTTTGGGTGTTATGAATCAAAGAGCTTGAATGAGACGTGCAGGACAGGGATGGAGGAGGAAGCGAGATTTACAAATTGTGAAAATGCAAACACACAGAGTGAAAATAGAAATAAACCAAGAAATGTTTTAAAATGGTGATGGAAATGCTGCCTGGTTTTGTCATGTAATGTTTTTGTACTTTCATCAAGCTAAATAGAAAAGTTTTATTCTATTACAGTGAATAAAGAGCCTAAAACATTATTTAGCTCATCACCACCAACAAATGTTAACAGCAACAAGATATAGCTCATAAAAACAAACATGATTTAAACATGTTAGCGTAGGGTAGGAATTAAAAACAAGAGACGACTTCATGCATAAATATTTAATATAGTGTTTATAAGTTTGAAGCAGTTGCAGATCTAAGTGTTTATTAATGTGAACTTCTATAACTCCTCCTGTAGGCACCAGGAAGTGGATGCTATTCTATAAACAATGAACAAACACACACGACAATGTCCAAATATGTTCTGTAACAAAGCGTCTGAACGCATCACACCTGTGAAACATCACAGATCTTTAGAACATAATCAGCCATTATTATACAACTGGTTAATGTTGTAAAAACCTAGTGCCAGTATACTTAGGCTACACACGAAAATGATTTCTCTCCATTAATGCTTTATGATTATAAAGGCTGAAAGTCCTGGTTTGATATAAGGTGTGATTTAATGAAACATCAGTTGCATTTGAGTCTCTTAAGCCTCAGTTCACGTCACGTCACTCACAGGAACAATTATCATTGGGCCTAAGTTTGAGCCATATTCATTGTCACAAGGATTAAAGTAGGGATACAGCTCCTCAGTGAAGGAACACTCGGTAAAGGAGTAAATAAGTGTTGTGGTCTGTACGTCATAGAATGATATTTGTCCTCCATCATAGTCCACAAACACGCCGACCCTCTCCACTTTCCCCCAGTGTACTGGCACGCCTGGAGAACAGTAGGTTTCAAATTTATCCTCCAGGAACCAGATGACCCAGAGTCCACACTGAGGCGTCCGAGCGAGCCCCCCTCTCCTCGGGAGCGAAGCCGTGGCCACGCCCAGACACCATTCGGTCTTTGGACCGACAAACACCTCAAAGTAAAACTTACGAGATGAGAAGCCTATCTGTCCCAGAACAGCAAGATGCTCCATAAACATGTCTGGGTTCAGGCTCGAGACCTCCCACACACCTGAACCCATGGTGTATCTCACCTGTTTCCCATTCTCAGATACAACAAGCAGAGGGTGAGCCGTATCAGGATCGAGGAAGATGTTCACTTCGTACTGCTGCATGTATCTCAGCGTGAGGGCTTCTGACACGCCTGTACCGTCAGTGAATCTTTTTATTTCTGTGTTCATTTTATTCACCAACATTTGCAGTTGAGACACTGAGCTGCTCATAAATTTCCGTACATGCTGTATCTTCAGGTGTCTGTTCAAGCTGAATGTGGACAAGTCCATCATCTGAGGCAGAGAACATGAGTTTGGGAATTTCTGGAGGAAACAGAGCTGGTCTTTGGTCTGTTTCAGCTCCCTCAGCTTCATCGCTGTCCTCTGCAGCTCAGCGATCTCCCGCGCCATATCACTAATAAGACTATTCACTTCTTCTTCTGCATCTTTTTGCTTCTCCTCCATCACCTTTACCAGCTCCATCTGGCTTTTCTGAATCTCAGACACCAGTGCCGTTAAGTCCTGCTCGCTGTTTGCTAGCACATCATCGGTTTCTCTCCTTCTCTGTTTCAGTGACTCCTCCATGGCTCTTACCTTCTGCTGCCTTTGCTGGCTCATGTGCTGCACTTTAGCCTCTGTGTCTTTCAACAGATCCTTCATCTCTTTGTATGCTTGCTCCACGGTGACAACATTGTGGTTCATGTGCCGTGAACCACTACAGATGTCGCACAGCAAAACCTTGTCGTTTTTACAGAACAGAATAAGGAGGCGGTTATGCTCCTTGCAGATCCTGTCCTCCAGCCTTGTCAGAGGGTTAACCAGCGTGTGTCTCTTCAGTCCGGCAGCTCTGTGATGAGGCTCTAGATGAACATTGCAGTAAGAAGTCAGACACTCCAGGCAGGATTTAACAGCGTTTTCCTGGGTGCCAGTACAAATGTCACACAGCACTGTACTGCCAGAGTTAGCCTGCTGTTGCTCTAGGCTCCGGATGTGAGCATCTGTTATTTGAAGTGACATAAACTGTGACACCAGCTCTGAAATGAAAGTGTTGACCTTGAGTTCTGGTTTCCGTTCAAACGTCTCCTTACAGAGCGGGCACTGGCACACGGGTGTGTCGCTCCAGTAGGTTGTGATGCAGGTCATGCAGAAGTTGTGTCCACATGGAGTGGAAACGGGTCGAGTGAACACGTCCAAGCAGATGGAACAAAGCAGCTGCTCCTCAGATAAGAGAGTGGTGCTCAAGGCCATTTCTGAAAAAAAACAAACAAACAAAACAGTTAAATTAAGGCACAAATTCACATCGATGCTGCAAAAACACATCATTCTTGACACAGCAGTTACAAAAGTAATCCTGCCACAAGGTGAATGATCTTCAGCAGTTTCTCTAGTTTTCATGATATTGTCCATTTCTGAGCACATTAAAGAGACATTTCTCAAACAAACACAATTATTGGTTAGTTGATTGACAAACAATTTTGATGTCTATTTTTATTTTAATCAAAAATGGCAAATTTGCATGGGCTCCACTTTGTGATGTACTTCATGGTAAAACCGGGCCCAGTTTAGTTGTGAGAGGGATTTAAATCCAGCTCAATGTTACACAGAGGTGTGGAGACCGTGGACCTACTGCACCTTAATGTGTTTACGATTTTACTAATCCGCACTTGCATTTTACCAACAGTGCATGTGATGGATTAGTAAAATCCACCTTTTTTGGAAATATAAATGAAGCTTTTGCCAACTGAGCCCTAAACACACACTAATACCATATTGCTCTACTTGCTACTATGAGCAAACAGTCAAGTGGTGCTTTATAGGACGGGTGGGGCCTCTAGATCACAGATTAAATTAATTCATGTATGTTTCTGAGATCAGGCTGAATCAAAAATATTGTAACACAAAAATGATTGTTGGAAAACACTCAAGAATATTTGGCCCTTTATTTGGCATATGACCGAAAACAAATGCAATTTAATGTCATTTTCTCATCCATGTAAGTTTAACAGCTGCACTTCAAACTTCAGAAACATGACCAACAAATCATGCGTCGTCTTCATGAAGACAGCTGCAGAAAAGCGAAGCCTCTTGTGTCTCAGGGCAAGAATCAACTTTTTAATCAGGAAGTCCTTAAAACACACCCAGAACAGAGCATTTGCACTTTCCAACTGGGAACACTGCCTATCACATGATCTTTATTAACAAAGCTCAATAAATGATCATGTGGTCAGAGCATGTTTTCAACTAGTCTGTGCTTAAGTCAACGGTGACATTTCTCAGCAAAAAGGCTCAAATTAACAGTGGGACAAGGCTGCAACTCAAACAGCACATAAATATCACTTCTTATAGGTTATAATGAAAATGTGGTTCAGAAATGACTACTTACATCTGTGTGTCGGGCTACAGAGTACAAAGAGGACGTTTCCCAAGAATAACCACTACTTTCACTTTCTTCCTGTGTCATGTTTCTTAAAGGGACAGTTGCAGCTTGTATACGTAGGTTTCAATACTAGTGAGAGGGCGTTTTTATTTGAGGTTATAGTTCTGTTATAGTTCTGCTTTATAGGTACACTTCTGCCTGATTGAGCTCTTTAGACTGTTCAGTGCTGCTCCACTACGTCCTCCTTTCTGCTCTTCCACTCCTGTTTCTACCTCAGTCACAATGCAGCAAGGTGTGTGTGCTTGTGTGTGTGTGTGTGTGTGTGTGAGAGAGAGAGAGAGAGGTGGGCACAGGGTCACGCTGTGTGGATAACGTTCCGGCCAAGCTGTGTGTGTGTGTCGAAGAGATAAGACTGCTGCTGCTGCTGCTTATTGAAGCACCTCCACCATTCATCATAGTTTAGTAAACGTTTGGCCTAAAAAAAAAACCCTCTTCACATCTTATTTTCCTATCGTCTCCAACATTTACTCCCTCTCCTCCCTCCCCCCTCCCGTCTCTGTGCAGTGCCTCTGTCCTGCTCCGAGGGCTTCACAGAACTGGGATATTACAACGGCACCGTGTCCCAGACAGACTCTGGCGCCCCCTGTCTTAAATGGACCGAGTTCCCAGACTACGTCATGCAGTATCCAGGCCGAGGGCTGGGCGACCACAGCTACTGCAGGAACCCGGACCGAGAGTCCAACCCCTGGTGTTTCTTCAGACAAAACTCAGGAGCCATAGGATGGGCCTACTGCGACTGCCACCAGGGTACAACCACAGATTACCAGAATGTCACTAAATTATTAACCATACTATAACACTTCTGTAAAGGTATACAATGATTTACAGTGCATAATAAAATGCACAGATAGAAAACAAGATACATCAAGGACAGTAAAAATTAATCAAATTGGAAGAATTGGGGCAACAACCAGTGCTCATGATTATCAATTAATCTGTTGATTAGTTTCTCACTCAGTCCAGAATTGAAAGAAAATGCATTTCTGCTAGGGTTTTCTGTTAGATCTATTCAGATGAAAAGTCACAACCTGCAGACATGGGAAAGCCCTAATGAGGAGGCTTTTTTTTTTAACAGACCAGAAAGGTTGAGAACCAGTGCTTTAGTCTGTCAAATGTTAGGAAATTCTGAAAAAGAATATTTCAAGTTTCTCAGAGTTCAAGGTGACATTTGCAAACAGAGTATCATTCCAAAACATCAAATTTACAGTGAAAACATGTTTAGCTTTTATGTTTGATAATTGACAAAGATACACTTCTGCAGAATGTTATATTAATAGATCAAATGTGTGTAATATGACAAAGGCGATCTATAATGATCAACCCAGAGAATTATCACCCAGCCCTGCAGCTGCCCTTGTGTCCACAGAGTCATAAACCTGGCTTCCAGCAGCCTCAGGGAGTTTATAGAGAGAAACTCTGCAAACCTGTTGTACACTACCTACAGCACCAGACAGCACACTGTTGAACATACTGGAACATTTAGTAGTTAGAGAGCCAGATATTCCACCACAGGAGGTGCTGGAGACCAAAGAGAGGTAAACAGAGAGCAAATGTAAACTTGCATTCATTAGGTGGCCAGAAACAACTCAAACTAAGGAGATATGTCAGTTTTTTTTTCCAACTTGTTCTGCTGCCCCCAAGTGGCCAGAAGTTTATTAATGATAGCTTTAAACATTTAATTAGCTGTTGATTCATTTTTTGCGCCTGGACTGATGAATTATGTGACCAGTTGTTTTGCCACTAAAATCATGATAGCATTTGGTGTCATACGTTTGTGACCGTACGCCAGGAGGCAGGTTTCTACTGTGTCACACAGAGACAAACCTCTGACTGTACTTGCTGAGTTTTAAAGTCTTCTGAGCCATAAAGCTTCTCTCTCTCTGGCTTTTTAGGTGCTGCCCGTCTGGTCGGCAGCTCGTCCTCCAACAGTGGGCGTGTTGAGGTTTACCTGAACGGGCAGTGGGGGGCCGTGTGCGACTCTCACTGGACAGACAGAGACGCCAGTGTGATCTGCAGGCAACTGGGCCTGGGGTAAGAGGAAAATGTGGTGGAGGAAGCATTACTTAATTAAAAGTACCACACTAAAAACACTGTTACTGGTAAGATTTGTAGAGAAACGAACCCAAATGCAGATGAACAGGGAGTCTGTGGTGTATTATGAAGTTTTAACAGGAGGCTAGTTGCAGGGCAGGTGGGAACAGAGCACAGCTAAGGCTTGAATCTCCAGTGTAGCATGATCAACAAAGTCTTACCAGGAGTAATCAACCTGAAAATTAAGTAACCAAAGGAACATAAAGAGAACTGCTTGACAAAAAATTTCATTTTAGTGAGGTTAACAAGAAACTAGTGATAATCAGAAGTTAACACAAGACATGGGAAATAAGAGCCCACATGTAAAAAATCAAACTAACCAGAAATAATGAAAAGAGGTTAGCACATAAGACCCAAGAACATGGAGGCAGAAAATCACTTTTTATAGGTTGAGTTACTGACAACAAAGGAGATTAAATACACTGCTAGCTGATTGAAAACAGCTGAAGATAATCAAGACAGCCGAGCTGGCACAGATGAGCATGTGAGGCGGCAGAAGGGTGTCAAAATAAAAGCAAAAAACAGGAAGTTTGATGGAAATTGTGGCACATTACAAGCAAAATTCCTGCAGTGATAATGAAGCTGAAGTATGTGAACAGGAAAATGTACGTAAAGTATTAAAAGTAAAAATAGTACAGAAAAATGGCCCTACCAAATGCGACACTATTATATCATTAGATTATTATTACTCATGCTTTAATGTTAAAGATTTAGGTCTGCAACTAATGATTAATTCCACTAATAATCAAATGTTTGTTTAGTAATAATATCCCAGAACCCACTTTCACAAGGTTTGTCTTGTCCAACCAGCAGTCCACACATAAAAAATACATAAACAGAGCATGATGGGAGTGGTTTGAGGTGTCTCTAGGCTGAAGAGTGATCAAAGTGGTGATGCTTTATTTCCACAGTGACATTGGCACTGTGCTGCAGCACTCACAGTTTGGCTCCGGCTCCGGCCTCTTCCACTATGAGCGACTGGGTTGCCGTGGTGACGAGAACACCCTGAGTACCTGCCGGAGCAGGAAGTTTGTCACCGGCGACTGCAGCCATGGAAACGAGGCAGCAGTGCTGTGTGCGCCGCCGGAAGGTCAGCGTGACTCGCAGAGTTTCATAGCAAATAGACCTGAAAGAGATACATGTGTTCATCACAGTCCTGCTAACCATCATATTACAAATAAAAACAGGGGGGACAGAGGCAGACTGAATCTCGTATATGTTTCTACGTCCTCTCTGCTTTGCAGGCAGCGGCCCTCCACTGCGACTGGTCGGAGGCGAGGAAGACTTTGAAGGTCGAGTGGAGGTGTTTCACGCAGGAAGGTGGGGGTCCATCTGTGATGACCAGTGGGACGACAGCGATGCTGAGGTGGTGTGCAGACAGCTTGGTTTTGGGTACGTACATCAGGGATTTCTCACACTACACCAAGTTACCAAACAGCATGTGTTAGGCTTTGTCCTCCACACTGACCCTTAACTACGAGGGATGTGATGTGTAATCTTTATTAATATGGTTAGTAAAACATTTAGTTGAATTTGTTTCCTTTTTCAGCTAATCGATGAACTGACTAATCGCTCTAAAAGCAAACATGATGACTAATGGACGTGTCTCCCACTCAGCTGCTGTGATATATGTAGAAATATGTTTTTAGATTTGACAAAGTAAACAGGAGGAGCTTACATTTGTAGAAAGTCTCTTCATTTCCTGCCCTTGTGTTTAGGGGTAGTGAAGTTTTCTAGGTCAACAGGTGCAGACTTGCTGTTGGAGGGCTTTAAAGTCCACGTTCATAGAGAAACCTCATTAACACAGGTGGAGAGAAAAGGGCAACAGTGTGGGGTGTCTGCTTTCCTAGAGAGAGAAAATGAAGAGATGCCACTTTGGGTCATTTTGAATAATATAAATAGGACATTTTCTTGCAGTTGCAGTATTTTCGCTAGTAAAAAACTAGTACAACACTCCTGAAAAGCTACAAAATGTGTTTTCCAGAAGTTCCTGAGTGAATAAGAATCAAGATTTTCTCACTTAGTAAAAAAAAGGAAGCAGAATCTATAGGAAACACCTCTATTTATATTCCATTTGTAGTTGTTCCCTGTGTCTACCCTGCAGAGACACTGTAACAACCCAGACAAGTTTGAGTGTCAAACAGCGATGAAATTGCAGCTGTGAAGAAAGAGAAAACCTTCCTTGTTCAACATTAGGATGTGTTTCATCTCCTCAAACTCCAAGGGACATGTCACTGTCTGTGTTTGTGCTTTTAAATAATAGATGTCCTGAATATCACACAGGTTCCCACACAGCTGCACACCAGCACTGATATGTTTTGACACTTCAAGGCATAATGAGGTGTAAAAGATTAGTTTTTTTCCCGCCTGGAGAGTGTGTTTTTTGTACAATAGGTAAGTGTATCAAACATTTACGCACCACAAAACACCCTCCTTCCCAGTAGGCATCGTAAACTTCTGCAACCACTATGATTTTGACAGTACCCATTCATTTGTTCACAGCTTTTCATTCAATAATATTTCTAAAATGAAGCATTTTTCTGCTCCAACACCTCCATATTCATTAATAATACAATGGAAATGTTGGAGTTCAACAGACACAGCTTTTAACAAAACCTCTATGTGTTATTTTCAGGTTAAACATGCAGCAACACACACACAAACACACAGAGCTCAAAAACGCTTCTTAAAAATATCAATAATTCATCACCGCACAAAGCAGTGACATCCCTGTTGGAGCTATTCAGTTGGTTTATGCTATTACCTTTGCTTTGTTTTCCAGTGATTAGGCAGGGTATCAGTTTAGAGGGGTTTAATTTTTATTTATTTTTTTAATCAGAGCAAGACAGGAAGCAAGCACTGAAAGCAAATACGTTCCTCTTCTGGACAGGCTGAAACAAGGTTTATGGGAACTGTGATTACATATGTTAACTATTAGATGGATTTTGTACACACATTCATGGTCCCCAGAGGATGAAGCCGAATGACTTTTGGGATCCCCTGACTTTTCCTAATATCACCATTTTTGGTTTTAGTTGAAATATCTTATTGTATGGATTGCTGTGAAATTTGGTGTAGACATTCAGGTCAGAATGATTCTTACCTTTGATGATCCCTTCACTCTCATAATCCCTTGATGATTTCTTGTGTGTATGTGTTGCAGGGGTGTGGCGAAGGCCTGGTCATGGGCGCACTTCGGTCAGGGTTCAGGCCCGATCCTACTGGATGCCGTGAAGTGCACAGGAAACGAGGTCTTCCTGGATCAGTGTCCCCATGGGGACTGGGAGCAGCACAACTGTGACCACATGGAGGATGCTGGAGTTTCCTGCAGTCCTTATACAGGTACACGTACAGTATAAACTCACGCTCACAGCCTTATAAACCTGACCATCAGTAAATTATCACCACATGAAGCAGCGACATCCTCTGTCGCAAGCAGAAACAGGGTTTATGGGAAATAGGAAATAACAGACTCTCTAGTGGCATGAAACAGCAGGCACCATTCATCTAAGATCAATAATTAGTCTGACAATGATACATTAATGTTGATATGAATGTACAGTAGAATCTATCAGATTTCATGTTGATGGATTTAATATCAGCCACACTATGAAACTGTCTCAGATGGTGTGGTGCGTCTAGTGGAAGGGGACAGTCCCTGGGAGGGTCGGGTTGAAGTCTTCCACAACGGCGACTGGGGGACAGTGTGTGACGACCACTGGACACAGCAGCATGCAGAGGTGGTCTGCAGACAGCTGGGCTACAGGTACGAACACTTGACCAGCACCGTGTTGTGTTCAAGGCCCTGAAATCATGTTTGTTTACAATTGGCGTCTTTCATGACAGAGAATGAAAATATAGTGAGTAATTTTCTATATTTTTTTGTTTTGTTTTGTTTGTGCTCTTCTCACTGGTTTGAAGAGGGAGGGATGCACCAGTCAGGACTTAGCCATATTTGAATTAAAACCCGATGACAGGTTTACTGGACTGTTTTAAATCTTCCTATAATGGTTGGGGGTGAGGCCAGTGTGAGCAAATAAAGTTCAGTCACATACACGCCACAACTCGCATGATAAATTTAGTATACTGTGCGGCACCGTAGCAAGTTTTATCGTTGTTGTTCCTGAAGTTATTGTCTCATTTCCACTGCAGTAATATGATTTAATACAATAACATTAGTGTAAACATGTAAAGTTGCCACTTCGTGCATGAATTTCAGTGTAATTTTGTTTTCTACCTGCTGTTTTGTATAGTGGACTTTTGGAACAGGAACACAGAGTTAGGGGTGTTTTACTTGCTTGCTGTGCTCACACTGATTAAAAACTGTATTTTCCAAAGGAAACTGTAGCCTGCTTATTTCCCTGGAGTGGCTGGGCTGTACTGAACATCAAGAAGCTGCAGGAGAAATACACATTAATAACATTAGCCTCACTTTTAATATGCTGGAGTTAGCTGAATGACTGGTAGTTTATTATCTGGATAAACTGAATAACAAAACTAAAAACACCGGTGTCCACGGTATGAACAAGAGTAGACATTAACCTCTTCTCCACTGTCAGGGGTCATGCTGAGGTTGTATCAGATGGGACATTTGGCGAGGGTGTCGGTCTGATTCTCCTGGATGACGTCCACTGTGAAGGATCTGAGACCTCCCTGCTGGACTGCCAACATGGGATCTGGGGCCGGACTGACTGCTCCCACAGTGAGGATGTCGGCGTTCGCTGCAGGGGCCGATCCAGCCAAGACACCAATGAGGTGCTGGTTATCGCACCTTCCACAGGTAAGCAATGGCAGATTAGGATTAACAAAGCCTGCAAGTGAGCAAAACCGTGACCGAATTAGACCACTTCACGTCTTCATTTTCTAGATGAGTCGCTCCCATTAGATGTAAATATCCAGCATATGTGAAGTGCAATGAGAAAAAGGCGACCAAGCTCGGGTCAAGTCAGATGTATTTATTTAATCCCAAATAACGCCTCAGAGGACTTTACAGTCTGTACACTTCTGAGGCCTTGTGTTTTTCTCCTTGATCTGGAAAAAGAAAAACACCAAAACCTTAAAGAGGAAAAAAGGGAGATACCCCAGGAAGACCAGTGTAAACATGTAAGTTTGATAAAATAAAGATCTGCAGGCAGAATGTAAAGGTGGCGCACAAACTAAAAACAAAGATCTACAATTTTTAACATTTCATCAGAATCCAAACTGCAGTTTCACAGCTGCTGGTGCAACATTTTGAGAGTTTTTCTGATTGGAAAGCAATTACAGTGAGAGGAAGGAAGGAAGAGACCAGCGACAAACAGGAGACTGCCACTGCACTGCACCACAAACATTTGGTGATTGTGCAACTGCAGTAAATTTTGTGCCAAAAAGGGGAAAGCTATCCTTGCAGAGTGCTGAACTAATGACAACATGCGAGCTATTTGTAGATAAATAACACCAGTTCTGTTTCCTTCTGTGGCACAATACCTCAGTATGAAATGTCTGTCCAAAGTGTTTAAATGCCACATGTTGATAGCAGAGAGAAGAAAGTGACGTTTTCTGTCTCGGCACCCCAGAGGTCCTTTGCCTCCTGTTGACACACAGGGTGCATTATAATAAAAATAGAGGCTGAATAAAGACGCGCCAGGCTGTAGATGACATTTAACACTGCTGGCGGACATTTAACTTGCTCTGTGTGAGTGTAGACTGGAGTGTGAAGTTGCACAGACATGAATATCAATGGTTTATTTTCTGTCAGGTCCCCTGGTGCGTCTTGTGGGTGGCAGCAGCAGGAAGGAGGGTCGAGTCGAGGTGTATCTCCATGGTGACTGGGGGAGTATTTGTGACTCAGGCTGGAATGACCTGAATGCAGCTGTGGTGTGCAGACAGCTTGGACACAGGTTAATGTTTATGGGCATAAAAGGCGGAGATAATTAATTTTAAACAAGCAAATGGCACAAATATTTTTCACGCAGTTTCATTTTTTCAGTGGCGGAGCGGTGGCAGCCAGAGGGTTTGGTCAGGGGAAAGGACCCGTCCACCTGGACCAGGTGAGGTGCACAGGGAAGGAGGAATTCTTAGGAGAGTGTCCCTCCCTGGGCCAGAGCATCCAGGGCTGCAGACGAAGGGAGGATGCAGGGGTGAAGTGTGATGTCAGGCTGCAAGAGTCACCGTTACGGGCCAAACCTCAAGAGCTGAGCTGTGGGCTGAGGAAGCTGGTGGAGGAAGAGAGCAAGAGGAGGCATCAAGGAGGAGAAAACATGATCAGGTAGGATTAAGGGTGGTTGCACAGTATGTCCAGAGTTTGAGTTAGGATGGAAGGAAATGACAGTTGAGCTGCCTTATATGTGACACTTTTAGAAGTGTCACATATACTATACTATACACTCACACAGTTCAGTTAACCTGGGGCTGTGTGGGCCCCTGTGGGTCTGGTGCCCTGAGGCAGACTCCTGCTCAGAGTGGGTGGTAATCCAGCTTCAAACCACATGTTGTGTGAAAGCTGTTGCAAACTCTTGGTGCACATTTGGTTTTTCAAGTTTGAAATCCTCTTGTGCACAGATCTGAAGGTATTCTACATTTTTTGGTTCAAGTTTTTTTGGTTTAAATAAAATAAGAAAGTTAGTAGAAGCAGTGAAACAGGAGATACGATGGGGAGTAAATATTATTTATTATTATTTTATCTTTGGAAACTTTACAGAGAAGACAAAAACATCAGATCCCCTTTTGATTTTTTTCCATTCCCTCTCAGAACCACATGGCCATGGCAGGTGTCAGTGTGGCTTAAGACCCAAAGAGAAGGGGGTGGCCCTCTCTGCAGCGGCACTCTGATCAGCCCTTGCTGGGCCCTGACGTCTGTGTACTGTGTCAGCAGGTAAACACTGAAGGTGTCTTACCGTACAGTGGGACAAACAATCCACCTTAGGCTCAGTCGTTCACTCCCTCTCTCTTCCAGGTTTGGCAGCGATCCGTCCAGGTACGTGGTCCGTGTCGGGGCGTCGGCACAGACTCTCACCCCAGAGAAGGTTGTGGTCCACAGGAAGTTCAAGGGTCAGAGCGGAGGTCATGATTTGGCTTTGCTGAAGCTGCCCAGCGCCAAGGGTCAATGTCTGACCTTTGATCCAAACACTAACGCAGCATGCCTTCCTGCTGCAGACACAGCATCTAGGGGACATGCGCCAGCTTCTTGTGTTGTCATGGTTACAACCAGCTGGACAGGACCAGGTTTGTGTTTTTTATTCTCCAGTGTTTTAAAGTCAGTTTCAGAGTATATCTAAAATTATGGTTTATTTTCAGAAGAATTTGCAATATATGTACTGTGTTTCTAGCACTTGGCCTTCAACAACAGCTGGCCACGTAGCAGCAATCACAAAAATAGGTCATCAAACACTGGGAGGCAGTGTTTTCACGCGTTTCTTTTAGTGGGTGAACATCCTTTTTGACAGTTTTCTTTGGGCTCATTTTAAAGACAAATGTTTAGACTTAAATGTTGAATCAGAAACTTTGAATTTGTGGCATATTACAGCCATGACTGGTTAATAAAAATATAAAACTGTCAAAAGAATTTTCAAAGAAGCCACGAAGTCACTGGAATCTTTCAATAAGAGATTAGTTTACTTGCAGCAAGTAGACAAGTTAGCATAGGCATACAGAGTTGTCTGAATAAGCTAGTCTAAACATCACAATATATAGGGCAAAGGGGACTCCCTAGAGACACATCCCAGGCGTTAATCAGGTTGTAAAAAAGATTTGCAGAGAGAAAGTGAACTTGAGAGGGTTTTGCCCTGATGACCCCTAAGACACTGCACAATCTGTTGTCTGTTTATCTCTACAGTGTATGTCTGGAACAGTCTATGGCTGGCTCCTTTAAGTTTGGGATGCCATCTGGTTGAACATATAACAACACACAAAGTACTAAAACAGAGATAGAACATGTCCTTCAGTTCACACAAGCAGTGTCTCACCTGTCCCTGTGATTTGTAGTCTGTTCTGACTGGTTAAAATCCATTGAATAACATATGTTGGTTAATATATTGATTAGAACACAGTTTAAAACATACTTAATAATGTCATTTTCATGACAAAAACCCACTTGTTAAGTAAAACTAATGAAAACTTTCATTACTGAAACATGTTTATTTTTTGTTAACAATTTATTAGAAATCAACAAATAGTATCATAAGTTACCAGAGTGCAAGGTTTGCTTTGTTTGACCAGCCATCCAAAATTTAAAGCTCATCAGTTTAGAATGGATGGTTTACAAAAGCAGCAAATATAATGAATGTTCGACATCTTCAGCCATGCTAGTGCAGGAACCTAGTTCACACTGCTGTTCATGTTGGTGTCTAAACGTCTGAAGTTACTGGATGAAATCTGGGACAAATATTCAAGGTGCCAGAGTGAATTTGAGGTTTAACTGAAATATCTCTATAGCCATTGAATGGATTGCTATGACATTTGGTTCAGACATCCATGTTCCCCTCAAGATAAAGCACCGTAAATACTTTGGTTTAAGACCAAATCACTCTAAAACTAATGATACTACAACACATGCACGTTAACATTTCACTCAAAGCACTGCTTTGCCTGAATACAGCTTCAGAGCTGCTAGTAGACTTTTAGCCTTGGTACTTAAATGATCGATAGTCAAAATTGTTATTGATTACTTTTATATTGATTGTCTTATTAGTTAATCAACTTTTAGCATGCCACCACTTTCACCTTCTCCATTCTCTCTCCTAGACTCAGTTCTTGCATCCTGGGTCCCTCTGATGTCATCTTGGCAGTGTAAAAAGCGCTACGGCGACAGTTTCTCCAGCCACGGCACCGTGTGTGCTGGCGTCAGGGGGAGGCGGGTCGATGGGTCCTCACTGGGGTTGTTGCCGGGGGTTACGGCTGCTCTAACCCGTCTTCTCCTGCACTCTACACTCGAGTCAGCCGCTTCAGAAACTGGATTGATGAGGTCATCAACACACACCTAGAGGAGCCGCACACACACACACAAGAAGATCTGACACACACTCACAGTGAGAGCAAAGAAAAATACTCCCACATGCACGGCAAGCTCGACAACACACACAGTCATCAACAAACAAATGAAATCAATGAAATGAAACAAACACGCACACACACTCACCACTCACACACTAAAAGCACGCATACCCACTATGTAGGGGAATCAGACACAAACACGCAAATTCTGGCCTGACTGAGGCCGCGCCATTGGCTTACCATCTGTGCCATGTGACCGCCTGAGGAGGAGGGTGGAAGGAAGACGAAACTTAACAGCAATTAAAACAAAACAATCAAACAAAAAAATTAAGATGCTCCTAACTTAAGTCAGTACAAACAGCCATCTCTGTGCTCATTCAAATCCGAACTCAGTGTTGTGAAGTGTTTGCGGGTGAGTACTGCAGTGTGGGCAAACCCGAGCGGCAGAGTGTGTGGGTGATTCGTGGTGCTTTACTTGTGAGTTAACAGCCCATTAAGAAGTCGAGCCTGGCGGATTTCTCAGCACGCTGATCATGGGCCTTTCACCGAGAGCGAAATCAAAAAAATCAGCATGGCATGTATTATAAAGATAAAGGTGTCAGCATTAAAATGTTCGAGTGACGTTTCTAAGCTGGTCACAAAAGAATCTATGCTAACATTCTTCTATTAATGTGTTTTCTGTGTGAGTAATTAGCCACCAGAACATCCAGCATAAAGGTCGACTACATATCATCACTGTCCCTCTGCGAATAGTAAATTAGATAAACCCCAAACTCCTGCAGCAGGTTAGGTTTTTATACAAATTCAGATGTGGGTGATGTTTATTTTACAAACAGGGCTTGTTGTCTTATACCTTTACATTTAGACCTGTGACTAAGCTACTTAACTGGGGCCATACAAGTGATTTAGCATGTGTTTCTGTATTTATTACCAATGATGTGCATGTTACACTATTTTAACACCATACTGTAGTGTTTCAGATTTCTGACTTTACTTCTGAAAGCCACCGGAAGTGAATCAGGGTGCGTTTTCATGCAGGTACACATGGAAATTTAGTTCAGTTGTCTTTCCAAAAGACACTGAAGGTAAATGAATACAAAAGCCCACATCAGCAATATCAATCAGGAAAGGAAATAATGCACAAACATCTGGAAAGCTGTCTTAGAGTGCAGCACCTTCAACGCTATAGGTCCACCATAGGGTTTGTTAATAAAAGATTAAGTATAATAATATCACTGTTTACAACTTATAAAACATTTTTATGCTCATACCAAAGGCCACAATTAAACTCATAGTCTCTGTCCGTTTCTGCCTTCCGGTAGCTGAGCATTGTGTTGCAAGTGCAGCAATCAGCTCAAAAGTATTATTCATTGTTCAGGAAGCTGTGGGTTTCCATTCATGTCTGTGCAATATGAAACTCTATACTCTGTATTTAATTTTGCCAAAGTTACATTAAGAGTATTGCATTTTAAACCACATTACCCCACAAAAATAATGGAAAATCATGTAGACGTGATGTTCACTTTGATGGCTCACTCACCTCAGGCAGGCTTTAGGAGTCTGAATTGATCTCTGTTCCAGTGGGAAAACAAAGGAAGCAGTGGCGCCAGAAAAACACTGAAACACTACAATATGGTTTTGTTAGCAGTTAGATCAAGTCTAAATGACTTGCAGTATTTGAGATTAAGGAGCTAAAATGTGCAAAAACACTGGTATGGTCCTTAAAAATTGTCCAGCTACTTCTCCCCTTTCAAAGCCATTGGAAGATGACTGTCAGGTCCTATGTATCTTTTTGTACTGACTCCAGTGATAACTCTAGGTAGATAAACTAGTAGGTACATAGGTGACTAGATAGATACTGTTCCAGAGTTTAGATAGTAGCTGTAATGCATTCATTGTTAACTGAACTAGATACAGTAGGTGAACAACTGGAGTTAGCTGTTGTCTGTTCTGTTGTTCTCTGAGCAGATTTGTGATCTAACCAGATGATGGCGCCATTGCTCTGTTGTCATGGGGTCACCTGTCGCTGATGGTTCTTTTTATACTGTTGCTGTAAGTGTACGGACTTGTGCTTTGACGTACTGTGAACCATTGTGTTGTGAAACATCTTGTAACCTGCAGCTACATGGACCTGTTCGATGCCTGTTGTTATAACCCTGTACAGAAACCCCATCTCTACTTCTTTCCTTCCTGATACTTGATGTTTTACCATGCAGATCCTCTAGTTTAATGTACATAATGTATGTGGGTGAGGGAGGAGTGTGAAGCCTTTTAAAATGTAGGACTAATTTACCCGTGTTGAACCCATCAGCTGTATAAAGTGCTGAATCATGGTTAAGTATTAAAACTTTGACTTGGTGAGAACAGCAGCAGTGGTGGTGTGGTCTCTCCTCTAATTAACCGTGTTTTCCCCTGAGCCTTGGCTTGTTTGATTTAATTTGATTTGATTTATTCTTTCAAGCATATAAAGACAGTTGATATGTCAACACATAATTTTACACATATCCAACAAATGCTAATCCAATATCAATTTGCTTATACCTAGTACATGCTTGAATGGAGTAGGAAGAAGTCAGACTTATCCAGTCCTACCCCATGACATCATCTTACCATCATTGGTTTGCAAATTATAAGAGTGTTAACATTCTTAAATAATTATCTTCTAGACCACACAAGTAATATACTAAAGAATTTTTACAAAGTGTTAACATTCATACACCACACCCACAATGTTCCATCTGGTTAATCATTAAACCTGTTCTTGCATATATCTTGATTGACACATACCTTTATATTTATGTTTAAACTCATCAATTCTATTACTATTTTTTATGTCCACACTTAAATTATTCCATAGTTTTACCCCACTTATGGAAATACAAAATCTTTGTTTGGTTGTAAGTATTGCATGAATTTTTAAATTTAACTGACCCCTTAAATTGTATCCCCCTTCCCTTTCATTAAATAGTTTTTGAATTCCACCAGGTAATAAATTGTTCCTGGCTTTATACAAAAACACAGCAGTCTTATATCCCACTAAATCGAAAATTTTTAACAATTTAGACTGTATGAAAGCTACATTGGTGTGATCCCT